GCTGTCTTCAAGAAGGCACTGGACAGGCACCTAAAGTCAGTACCTGACCAACCGGGCTGTGGTTCGTACGTCAGCTTGCGTGCGGCCAGCAGTAACAGCCTGATTGATCAGATCCTGATCCACCATGAGGCCTGGTCTCAGACCGGGCCGCGGGGGCGTTGACCCCCGAAACCCTCTCCAGGTAAACTACATCGCTTGCCAGACTATTCCACTTCCTAACAACTCTGTGGCTGAAGAAATACTTCCTAACATCCCTTTGACTCATCTGAGTCTTCAGCTTCCAATTGTGACCCCTTGTTTTTGTGTCCCATCTCTGGAACAGCCTGTCTCTGTACACCTTGCCTATTCCACACAGTATTTTGTATGTCGTTATCGTGTCTTCCCTGACCCTCCTGTCCTCCCGTGTCGTCATGCCGATTTCCCATAACCTTTCTTCGTAGGACATTCCCCTTAGCTCTGGAACCAACCTTGTTGCAAACCTTTGCACTTTCTCAAATTTCTTGACATGTTTGACCAGGTGTGGGTTCCAAACTGGTGCTGTGTACTCCAGAATGGGCCTGACGTACACACTGTATAGTCTAGAATGATTCCTTACTGAGGTACCAGAACGCTATTCTCAGGTTTGACAGGTGCCCATATGTCGCAGCAGTTATCTGGTTAATGTGTGCTTCTGGCGATGTACTCGTTATTATACTCACCCCTAGATCTTTCTCCGTGAGTGAGGTTTGCAGTCTTTGGTCGCCTAGCCTATACTCTGTCTGCGACCTTCTTTGCCCTTCTTCGATCTTCATGACTATGCATTTGGCGGGGTTAAATTCTAGAAGCCAGTTGCTGGACCACTCATCTCGCCTGTCCAGGTCTCTTTGTAGACCTGTCTAGTCCGCACCTACAAACAGGGACACTTCTGAATCTATCCCTTTCTTCATGTCGTTCACATATACCAAGAATAGCACTCGTCCCAGGACTGACCCCTGTGGGACCCTGCCCGTCACAGTTGCCCACTGTGATACCTCATCACGGACCATGACTCACTGTTGCCTCCCTGTTAGGTATCCTCTGATCCATTACAGTGCCCTTCCTGTTATATATGCCTGATCCTCTAGCTTCAGTACTAATCTTTTGTGAGGAACTGTCTCGAAGGCCTTCTTGCAGCCCAAGAAAATGCAATCAACCCACCTCTCCCTCTCATTTCTTACTTCAGTTACCTTGTCATAAAACTATAGTAGGTTTGTGACACAGAACTTGCCTTCCATGCTAGCTGTTGTTTATAACCTTGTTCCACTCCAGGTGCTCCACCACTCCCCTCCTGATAATATTCTCCATGACTTTGCATACTATACATGTCAGTGACACTGGTCTATAGTTTAGTGCTTCATTTCTGTCTCCTTTCTTAAAGATGGGGACTACATTTGCCACCTTCCATACCTATGGTAGTTATCCAATTTCAAGGGATGTGTTGAAGATTGTGGTTAGTGGCACACACACTGTCTCTGCTCCCTCTCTAAGGACCCACAGAGTGACTCACAAAATTGTAATGACACGATTTCAAACATACCACGGGTGGGGATAGAACCCGCGTTCAGAGTGTCTCAAAACTCCAGACCATCGCGTTAGCCACTGGACCAGCTAGCCACAATAAGATTCGTTCAACTAGGTATATTTCTACACCATAGGAAGGTTACCAACTCTCCCACTGAACCTCCTGCAGAAAGGTCCTCATACCTGTGTAGTGCCCGCTTTTATAGTTTGGCTTTCCTTATTCTACTCCTGTTACCCTCTCCACTTGTAGCTCTATGATGTATTCAAAGCTCAGAACCACGTGGTCACTAGCTCTAAAGTGCCTTTCATATGTGATGTCCTCAATGTCTGGGCTACTCGGCGTGAACACCAGGTCCAGTCCTGCTGGTTCATCCTCCCCTCTCTCTCTGGTAGTGTCCCTAACGTGTTGGTGCATGAGGTTTGCCAGTACCACATCCATCAACTTGGCTCTCCATGTTTTGGGACCCCCATGTGGCTCCAGGTTTTCCCAATCAATCTCCCTGTGGTTGAAGACGCCCATAACCTGTAACTTTGCTCTACTCGAGTGAGCCCTTCTTGCCACCTTAGCTAGTGTGTCCACCATTGCTGTTGCATTCATCATATTCCTCTCTTGGCCTCCTGCAGTTCTGTGGTGGGTTATACATCATTGCAATGACCACCTTATGTTCTCCTGACTAAACTGTACCTATGTAGCTACAGTTTCTTGGTAACCCCACCGGTTTTTAATTAGCAGTGCAACCCCTCCTTGCCCCCCCCCCTGCTTCTTCTATCCTTCCTCAGGATCTGATATCCGGGGGGAAAGATTGCATCTGTTATTGTCCCTGTGAGTTTAGTTTCTGTGACTGCTATGATGTCTGGGGACATCTCGATTCTTTCATGCCACTCCTCACATTGCTAGTAATCATTGCTAGTAATCCCTTCCTTAAATCTCTTGTTAGAGCAACTGCTCAAGAAGAAATTTTTCGCCTAGCTGGTAGTAACAAGTTATCACAAGTTATATACACTGATGGATCTAAACAGGAGTCTTCTGGCAGGGCTGCATCTGCTCTTGTTGCCACTTCCCTAGTTAAGAACGATAATAAATTTGTTGAGTTAGGCATAAGAATTAACAACTGGGCGTCTACACTGCAAACTGAATTGTTTGCAATCCTAATGGCGCTAAAGCTAACCTATGACACTGAGCTTGACTCTATCATCATTACTGATTCTTTGTCAAACTTGAAGGCTTTGACTCATGTAATGACTCAACCAAAATGCTCATTGGGGAAGCAGGTATAGATACTCAAAAATTTGGGACAAAGGAATTAATGTACAATTGCTATGGATCCCCTCCCCATTGGATTACTCCTTCATGATAAAGTTGATTTGTTAGCCAAGAAGAGTATCGAGAAGGAGAATGTAGAATATAATTTGGTATAACTGTGTCTAGCATTAGGAATAATATTAGGAGAGAAGTAAATAATGAAAATGATTGTTATTAGGAATGCAGTTAGAAGCTGAGTAGATCTATAACCCCCTATGATAACATGAACGTAGATAAGTTGTTTTTTGGAGCAACTTGCAATGTGAACAGACTGACTGATGTTGTAGTGGCCAGTTAGGCTTGGTTACAAGTATTCTGGCAGTTTGGGAGACACACAGATGATGTCAAACTAAATGTAATTATGTGATCAGCATATGGTCACTCTCTTGAACACTATGTGCTTATTGTTTCCCCCCTTATTGAGGAATACTGAGACAGCCCAGTATAATAACTTATGTGCAATGTCCATGATATCTTATTAATGAAAATTAAATACCAGATATACTAAGCAAATTTCCTAAATTTGCTTGTAACACGATAATGTGAACTATAATTATGTAGATATTAATCCTATGTATTCCTGTTTAAACCTTGGGGCCTAGTTCTAGGCCTTTTGTGTATCCATATGCTCTCGCGCTACGTCCACAGGATGGATATGGGGTGCACATATAAACTAGCCACTTCGGTGGCTAAATCTAATCTAAAAAAATTCGTGTACCAACCTTCAATTCTTTTCTATAACTGTGGTCTGCGGAGAAAGGTGGGTTAGGGGAGCAGGTTCCCTGGCAGGGGCCTATAGGGGGTTGCTGTCGGGGTGGGGTTCTGTGGTGTGGGGTCGTTGGCGGCTTGCAGTAGCCTATTCTGGGTTACAGTGTGGATGGGAGTTGTGGTAAGGGGGATTGGGGGGGAAGTGGGCTATGGGGGGTTACAGTGGGGGTGGGCGTTGTGGTGAGGGCGATGGGGGGAGAGGGTACATTGTGTGGGTTACTGTTGGTTTCTGTGGGGGAGGGTTTGAGCTGAAGGAATGTGTGGGTTATTGTGGGTTTCTGTGGGGGCGGGGTTTGTGCTGAGGGGGATGGGGTGCAGAGGGCACAGTGAGTGGGTTTTGGGCTAGGTGTTTTGGTTAGGTTGTGGTGTGTGTGTGTGTGTGTGTGTGTGTGTGTGTGTGTGTGTGTGTGTGTGTGTGTGTGTGTGTGTGTGTGTGTGTGTGTGTGTATCAATTCACTATGCAGAAATAGGCAGGTATATACAAAAAAAGATCGCAGTTAGTTAGAACATACAGGAGGATAATAAAATAGCTTGAAACCATGCTTGAGGCTCACAGATGTGCCTGGGCTGAGAAGGAACATGGCTTGTAAACCAGGCTGTGTAGCTTTTGAGGCATTTGTGGCTGAGTGGTGAAGAGCATCACTTGGAAACCTTGCCAGTCTTCCTGTAGCGAGTTCGAATCCTGAGATATTTCATTATTCTATATTTTAGGTATTAATGTATTCTTGACTGATGATGGATCGGCGAAATTTAGCCTTAATTACCCTTGTGCAGTCGACAGGCTTTAAACCTAAAAACTAGCTCACACACACCAGGATTTTAAGAGAATATGTAAAATTACTTACAAATAACCACTATGAAGTGTTCTAGCTAAAATACGGTGAATTCGGTATTCGAATTATTTCAACGTGGGAGGCTCACGCTGATGCTGGTGATGTGCTCCCCATCTAAGGAATAGGAGCTACTATCCCTTTCCTCGGATCAAATCTAGTTGTCTCCCGTTCCATAGATGCTGCGTAACCCCTGTGGGCTTAGCGCTTTGCCATAAATATAACAAGCATAGGAAAGTAGCGATACAGTGTGCCAAAGATAGTGTCCGAAGTGGTTTTGTATTGGACGTTATGGTAAGACATTTATTTACTCACCATATTTCGCTCTAAAGGGAGCTTTACGAAGTCGGTTCATAAAGATTTACTTCCAGCGAAACCTTTTGTGTAAATAAACGTTTGTTTTGCAGATAGTGTCTTCCAACGTTCTCTCGCGTGAGCAAGTCTTGCCCTCCAGCACGTTTTGTACCTAAATATTATAATAAGAGTGTGTGCCATTGTAGCGTGAAGCTGGTCTTGGCTCTAACCAAGCTCACATGTATAAAATAGTTACTGTCCCACAGGGATCATAATGAGCGCCTTCGTTGTCTGTTGGCTTCCATTCTTCGTGCTGGCTCTGGTGCGCCCCTTCAAGAAACCCTCGTCCATCCCTGCATGGATCTCCTCCCTCTTCCTTTGGCTTGGCTACGCCAACTCTCTCCTCAACCCCATTATCTACGCCACTCTCAACAAGGACTTCAGGAAACCCTTCCAGGTAACGATTAGAAATGCTGTAGTGACTTGCTAACGTGGATGTTCTAGATTTGTTTTCCATGTAGCATAAAAATACGATTATTTTTCTTTAAAACCTTCCAGATGATAATATTCGGTTATCTTAACATTTTCAGGTTACAGTTATGATGATTTTACCTTTCTCATTCCAAATAGCACTAATTTTTTATTGTATTTACCGTAAATTTCGAAAATTTACCGAAAATTCACGACGCTCTAAACCACTGGACCATACAATCGTACGAACACATGAGCCTACCGAACTAGGCTGCTTCCTGTTGCGAGGACATACGATGGTGTGGTAGCCTCAGAGCTAATTTCATTCTACTCCCCGTTTGGTGTGCTAGCCTCCACAAACAGTACATATATTATGGTAACCACGAACAAGTGGTATTTAATCAGTAACAAACTGCGGCTAGTCGGGGGATCGAACGTCTTGAATTTTCGCTCTCTTCCCACGAGGCTGTCTAAAACAACACAGGTTCGATCCCCCGGCTAGCCGCAGTTTTTTATTGATTAAATACCACTTGATCATTAGTATCTTCTGTATCACAGTCAAATTTATTCTTAAATATCTAATCATTTGTCTTGAGGGCATTGATCATTTGTCTTGAGGGCTGTAATTGTATTGAAAGCAGTGATCATTTGTCTTGAGGCATGATCATTGTCTTGAGGGCTGTAATTGTATTGAAGGCAGTGATCATTGTCTTGAGGGCATTGATCATTTGTCTTGAGGGCTGTAATTGTATTGAGGGCAGTGATCATTTGTCTTGAGGGCAGTGATCATTTGTCTTGAGGGCATTGATCATTTGTCTTGAGGGCTGTAATTGTATTGAAGGCAGTGATCATTTGTCTTGAGGGCATTGATCATTTGTCTTGAGGGCTGTAATTGTATTGAAGGCAATGATCATTAGTCTTGAGGGCATTGATCATTTGTCTTGAGGGCTGTAATTGTATTGAGGGCAATGATCATTTGTCTTGAGGGCAGTGATCATTTGTCTTGAGGGCAGTGATCATTTGTCTTGAGGGCAGTGATCATTTGTCTTGAGGGCATTGATCATTTGTCTTGAGGGCTGTAATTGTATTGAAGGCAGTGATCATTTGCCTTCAGGTCTGTAATTGTCTTGAGGGCAGTGATCATTTGTCTTGAGGGCTGTAATTGTATTGAGGGCAGTGATCATTTGTCTTGAGGGCTGTAATTGTATTGAAGGCAGTGATCATTTGCCTTCAGGGCTGTAATTGTCTTGAGGGCAGTGATCATTTGTCTTGAGGGCTGTAATTGTATTGAGGGCAGTGATCATTTGTCTTGAGGGCTGTCATTGTATTGAGGGCAGTGATTAGTTGTCTTGAGGGCAGTGATCATTTGTCTTGAGGGCTGTAATTGCATTGAGGGCAGTGATCATTTGTCTTGAGGGCATTGATGATTTGCCTTCAGGGCTGTAATTGTAATTTTTTTTTTTTTGTATATTCCGACTTCGATCTGCTGAAGACCTAAGATGGAGGTCGAAATATACAAAACATTGTCTTTTATATCTGTCTCCATGTAGATCGATTTATATTATTGACAAGGACAAATTTTCATGACACATTAATATTCCACCATACCAACTGTATTAATATACAGCTGGTATGGTGGATACTGTCAGTGAAGACGTCGAGTTCTCACATGTTGGCATTCCTGTCGACACCACTGTCCACAGTATATAGTCGTTTGTGTTAAAGCACAAAATGCAGTACAAGCTTTTGTTACGAATATGCTGTGCATTAGGCAAAGCTTTATTAAGTCCAGTTGATAAGTTTTACACAGAGCAAATTATTGCCCCAGTAAAACCTTGTTCTGAAATTTCTTGTGTCTTTACCCCTATTTCTCGAAAATGAGCTTTCACTGTCTGTCAGAAAAATCAGCATTTGTTGTTAAAGGTGCAATCACTCAATGTAGTTTTCCATGAGACAAGACTCAGTGGCTTCATATGTCAGACGAGCTGAGTCACGACTTCTGAAACTGCCTGTAATTCTTGTGCTTATCACATTTTGCTGTAAGCTAGAACTTTCATCGCAGTTTTCAGAATTTTGCTCATGAACTTCTCTATAATTTACCTAAGCCAGCTACTTCTCCCACTGTGGTACCGTATCGCTAGTGGTGAGATTATACACCGGGAGAGGATGGCATACTTGCTAGGTGCTTGATCAAGATTCACACTCTATGACCTGGTGGTGACACAAGAATCTCCTGTCTGGGACGTCGGAGAGGGTCAGGCCCTAAGAGATTCGAGCCTTAACGATTACACTTGACGAAGATTATGAAAATGCTGCTGCTTTTTCGGGTCACCTTGCCTCGGTGAGAAACGAACTGTGTTAAAAAAATATTTCACCGTTACTGCTCAGATTACTCTTGACTAAAGTATTGGTTAGCACAGAATGAATTACTGTTTGCATAAACCAGACGTCCCCAAACTCTTCAGCTCATTGACCTTCATGAAATTTCAGATTATTCATCGACTCCCAAACATTTATATGAAATAATTTAATTCAACCTTAACTTACAGTACCACGAATAATAATAGATAATAATAATGACTATAAAAATAGGTAATATTTAAATTATGAAAAATATAAGATTTAACGTATTTTTTTTAATGAAACTGTTGATATCATTAATGGGAAGGTTGCAGCTGATGAGTGTCAACAAGGGCAATGATATTTGTGGGAGAGATGAAAGAGACAAGGTGGAAGGTGGAAGGTCACAGATACACAACACAAAGCACGTCCCCAGACATTTACTGACTCCATTTTGACCTCTAGCCATTTATCGACCCCTTCGATAGTCCCGTCGACCCTTAGGGATCGATACGGACTACTTTGGAACTCTGGCATAGACACAACGATCAAACAAAGCAATTTCATGAACACGAGAGAAAAACAATTCTACCATTAAAAACAAAATAGTGCAAAATAATAAAATCATTTCAACCAATTAAAAAACGAAGACTGGAGCAAAACAATTAAAACAGGTCCACGAACAAAATCAAAGCTAGAGAAAAACATGAAAAATAATTCGACCAGCAAACACAGCTTTGGAGCAAGACAAGAAAAACACTGTGCAGGAGGACACTGCTCGGGACGGGCTCTTAAGTTAGTATCGGATTCTCATTTCCAGTTGAATAAGGATGGACAGATACTGGAGACTGGAAGACTCTTTGAAGCACCTTGCTGTTTCCACATTATGCACAGAAGCCTCTTCGTTGCTGCTGCCACATATACTGTGAGAGAACTAAAACGTATTAAAGTGTACAAAATTTTGACGTATAAAAAGGACCTTTTGCTCGTGACCTTCCAAAAGAGAAACCTGGATGACCTAAAGAATGGAAGCTGCCCTCCACTTCCTTGGATCTAACCTGATGGCTTTCCCCAACTGCTGTATGACCTGCCCGGTTATAACGCTTCCCTGTGAATATACTAAAGCCCTGTTCTGTAGCATTTATACTAAAGCAACCTTGGTCTTGTCAGGAGGTAACTGAAGCTGCTTACCTTCCTGAGCTGCTCAATACGCACATCTGCTGTGTCTAGTGTTCTGTAAAACATCGTAAAAGGATATTGATCCCTTGACTAAAGAAGGCCTTCGAAGATGAAAATCTAGTTAGGATATATTGATGTACAACAAGGCAGACTGAGAGATGTTTGAATACATAGGAACATATACAGTACTGGTTATAAATAGAGCTATACATATATACAGAAATGTTTGGATATACTATATGCAATTAATAAACATTCAGGAACGTCAGTACACTACAGACCAGACAGAAAGAGAAACTGGGGAGGATTTAAAGCTGGAATTAGCATGAGAAACACGACTATAAAGAAAGAAAAAGAATCAGACATATAATTGGTTCACTTTCTATTAACTAGAGGTACTAGGTGGCCCGGTGGTCTGGTGGCTAAAACTCCCGCTTCACACACGGAGGGCCCGGGTTCGATTCCCGGCGGGTGGAAATTCCGACACGTTTCCTTACACCTATTGTCCTGTTCACCTAGCAGCAAATAGGTACCTGGGTGTTAGTCGACTGGTGTGGGTCGCATCCTGGGGGACAAGATTAAGGACCCCAATGGAAATAAGTTAGACAGTCCTCGATGACGCACTGACTTTCTTGGGTTATCCTGGGTGGCTAACCCTCCGGGGTTAAAAATCCGAACGAAATCTTATCTTAGACCGTACCACGTATATTGAGTAAAAAAAAAATTATAATTCTTGCGCATTTGCTTTCCATGATTTCATTGCTTGCTTCAGCTCTTCTCTACTCATCTCAGCAGCGCTGTATAACCCTAGTGGGTTTAGCGCTTCTTTATAATAATAATAATAATCTACCCATCTCAAAGATAAATACACCGAGAAGTACATGTCTCTCATTTGATCTACACGGAGAGTTTGGTTGTAGAGATTAGCATATTCTTGACCAGTGGTGAATAGGTTATATGGACCTTTAATGACCTTCGTGTAAACGATAGTGTTAGAAGGACCTTGGAAAGTTCTCCTGTTCAATCTTTTTAATTGAATATTTCTTGTTTTACAATATTTATAGCGGAGTTAGGCGCTAACTTTGAATTAAATTTAAAGAAAATTATTGACTTACCTACTCTCAGTGTTACGAGAGGTATTTTCAGAATCTAATATGCTTTTTTAAGGTTATTATTCAAAGTCTTAGCTTTGTTAGTAAGATACATTGGAACTTTTGTTGATTATATAATAAATATAATGGGGGCAAAGCATAGTTTAAAATTTTCTATTTAAATAATATATCTACTGGAATTACACCAACCCTTAAAATATCTAAACTTTTCATGCCCTCTGCACTTACACATAATTTGTAAAGATAAGCCAATAAATTTAATGGGCTCATACTTTATTTATAAGAATGAATTTCTCTCTTTTTAATGCCATTCTACCCTTACAAAATCAAATTTACATTTACACTTCTCTGGGTA